CACACTACACTGATGACAAAGCTAGTCCAAGGACAACTCAACAGTGAAAAATCTAATTAAATGAAGAAATTGCTTCAATAGACCTTTATATTATTATATATTATATATTTATATTATTTTTTTAACAAAAGTTTTCTTGAAAAAATACAGAGTATTATATTTATTTCCTTTGCTATCCACTGAAAATAGTCCTCAGATGAATTGTACATTCAAACACACACAAAAACATTTCCATAACACTTTCTATGACATAGATGAGGCAATCTGATACCCCTACACAGCCTGTTTATGTTGTGGCATTTAAAAGGCAGACAATTTCATCCAAATGGAACATCTGAAAATAGCTGCTGCTTATTTTCTCCCAAAGGAGCTCACTTATTCTAACTAATGTGACTGGACATTCCTAAAAGAAGCTATTCTGGTTTATCAGAAGAACTGTATAGAAAATTGAACAACAAGCAAGGAATTCATGTTTTTTCAAGCATACTAAAACCATAAGGTGAACACTTTGTGTGCACCGAAAGATAAAATTCATCTGTTCTGATATTTGAGTAGTCAAGGGCCTAAAAAAGTCCAGTAGATTTAACCTCAAATCCTTGTGTAGTGACACAGACTTTGGTGATTCATAATTTAGCAATTTATCTTTACTTTTCATGATACAAGTTTTAATACAATGGAAATGTTGAAGAAGGCATGCCTTCAGTCTGCGGTGTAATTTTGTAAGAGTAATAATTAGATCCATTAGAGGAAGCTTACTTCAAATACTGCTGGCATTATAGGTGGACAGATTTTATGAAATACAGTACAACAGCTTCATTACAGACTGAACATGTGGTCATTTATTTGTTAAAATTCATTAAAGGAAGATGATGAAAACCGTAAGAATCCTTTTATTGTGGTTGTAGTGCATGGCCAGTACCAATGGATGGTACTTTGAACTTCGAGAGGGACCTTAGAGCAGGGTTCTGGTGTTGACAAACTGACCATGACTTTTCATGTTCACTACAAAGAGTGTGACTCTGTCAACATTTTGACAGCATGAAAAAGGAAAGGTGGAGGTAATGATGATGGCAAAATCTTCACTTAAGTATAACCAGGGCTTTTTTTCAGGAACTCAACCAAAACCCCCAAAAAACCCCCCCACACACCCTCCATACTGCATCAAATAGTGGGTGTGGTCATAATATGTGAGGGTATTAAAGGGACATTGAATATCAGTAGTGCATTATATGCATAATGGAAGGGGGGGTTATACACAGAGTGCAGAGTTCAGAGGTGCACTGCCTACAGAGTGCAGAGTTCAGGTGTGTCCTACACACAGGATGCAGAGTTCAGCCATCTTCTACAGTTGCTAACCTCTCCATTCCCCATTCACATCTTGCTTTCACCACCTTTAAGTTCTGACCTCTGCATGCAACCCCCCCCCCCCCCCCCTTCCACTTCTCCCCCCTCCTTAAAAGCTCCACAATATTCCACATCTCTTACTTTTGTTGCTGTATTAAGCTGAAGCACCCAGCCTGCTCTAGTACCTCCCCACACACCATAGGTGGCACCACCTTTCTCACTTGCAGGAAGACCATCCAGTACCACCTTCCGAGTGTAGCATTGGCTTGTTTATTACACGGAGCATAAAATTGGCAACTTACAGGATAAAAGGCATGTCAAGCACTCATCAGTATATTATTGAAACTGTGGCTGGGCTATCCCACTATGTGTACAGTGGTGTGGAACATTTGGCGGTGATGGTGGCTCCCAGGACTTCTTGGATGGTCTGCAAAGCCCAGAAGTTGGAATTACTGTCAGGTTGTTATTGCCTGTTGGGGAAATACACTCTCTCTAATTGTCCTAATCACCAATATCTCTGGGAATGAAATTGGGGGTAATTCCAGGACTTTGAGTTGACATCAGAAAATAAATAAGCAAATCGATCACATGATACCTGTATGAGAGGGGAGTTTTCTCACATTGAAAAGATATATTTTCACTTCCTGTTGTATCTACAGGACAGGATGTGAAGGAAAATCTCCCAAATAAGACAAAGCTGGCAAAGACCTGACAGCGGTGTTAACGCTCCGCTATTCTGTCCGCAATAAAAAAAAAACCTTCAGCTTTAGTTATACTTTAATCATATTTGAAAAATGTACTTGTATGTAAAATTTATTCTGTTGATATTTTAGTAATAGTAAAGAGGGTTGGAAACCAAAATTATTGGTTCACTAAAACTGAGACCAAAAATATATACTGAAATGTATTCAATAAATGTGCGTGATTTCAGATCTCATTGTAGAAAGATGATTTGTAACAGTCATGACACCTAATCATCTAATGAGTAATTAGGGCACCAGAATAAAAATATTCCCTATTATACAAGTTGCCTCCTGACAACTCACCAAAGCCCCAAATGGTATTAGCTTTATGAGGCGATTATAACAAAACTCCCTTTTTACAACCTACTAAAAAGAGCTTGTTTATGTGGCTTGCTGTAATGGCTCTAATTTTTACAAAGGGTACAGATACAACGTACAGGGAGATAAATACTCAAAAAGAAAGGAATAGTATGTCAAAAATATTAGACAAACTGAAGATGTTTTAATTTTTGAACAGTTTGTTTCTAAAATAAAACTAGAAAATGTACTTGTAATCCATGTTTTATTTGAAAAATAAAAACGGACCTAATATTTGGTACACTTTCATTTTTAGTCCTGAATTTGTAGCTTGTACCCCTTAAAATAGAAAGAGTTTACATTTTATAATGCCTTTCCTTGAAGTCATAGCTTGCATAGACAGATTGGATTTGAACTTATAACACTTAACATAAATCCACTATGACCACTGTGCCACAACAGTCAAGCAGCTTGCTAATAAAAAAAGCCAGGAATTGTGTTTGTCATAAAAATAATGAATTCTTCTGCTTAACCTCAGTATGCAGTAAATGCTGTAGTGAAATGCTCTGCTTTTCAGTGTAAAGGCACCTCAAAACATAACAGAATGTGTGCATGATGTGGCCGCATAGGACTGGGTCAATGAATTGTATCTACCTGTAGAATTTCCCAAATACCTCCTAAGAAGGTTAATAGGAATGAAAATGCCACTCATCTCATTAAAGCGTAACTATATTGCATTTGAGGACCACAAACCAAAAATGCTATTTAATTAATTTTTAATATTCAAAGCAAACTCCCCCATCCATCCATGTCTCCATGTTTTATTTTACTTTGAAAAACACCCACCTAGCATTGAGTAAGGGCAGTTGATTCGTGTAGCATTTACTTCCTAGAATCCATCTGCCCTTAGCTCAGATATGCAGACAGGAGGAAGTGCTTAGCTGAGAATACCCTTCCTCTCTTCCTGAAGACTCCTAGCATATATGGCATAATTTGCCTATGCCAAAAACCTGAAAGTAACAGAGGAAATGTAAAAACGAAAAGTTTAAAACATGTAAATATGATATACTTTCCTATCTAATTACTAATGCTTGCAGCATAAGGATTAAAAATAGATCACGTTGATTGAGAGAGTGAAGTTTAAGTTCAGTAGTTTGAAGTTTTAAAATCCAGTAATACTGCATTGCAAGTGACAAGAAACCAGAAAGAAAAAGATAACGCCTTTCAGGGGCCAGAAATCCCCCTTCATCAGGGCTGAGGAACAAAAATACCATAAAAAGTTACTAATTAAATGCAATAGTATATCAACAGTCATGACACCTAATCATCTAATGAGTAATTCTATAGGCATATACTTAGAGTAACATAGTCAACATACTTTAAAATTTATAATAGTGAGTTTGCATGAAGGAATCTCAAAATGTCTCAGAATGTGATGTAATAAAAATTGATATTATGAAAAATATAGATTAGGAACCATATTAAAAGTATTAATAACCAAGATCTAACTTACACAAATATTAGGTAAAAAAGTTATTTACCTATGCTCATATTTTTCCTTCCACTTTGTGCGTCCAGTCATGCTGTTCTTTCCCGCAACTAGCAGATTTGGTTTAGCTGGCCATTTTATTAATTTATAATATTTGTTTACAAACACTTTATACCTATTAAGATCATGTGGTATTTAAACTATTATTATGATGTATTAACATTAATCTGGTTTAATTTTTACTCCCTATCAATTGTTGTGATGTATTTTTTTATCACATTTTGAGATTCCTTTATTCATACTCACTATTATTGTTAATATTAATTTATGTTGAACATATAAATATGAGTATATGCATATATAATGTCTTGCTATAAACAATGAATATAAATAATAAATATCTTTAATTTTGTTTTGTTTGTTTTTTTTTTTTATTTTTGTTCTTCAGCTCTAATGAAGGGGGATTTCTGACCCCCTAAGCATGTTGACTCTTTCTTCTGAATTCTTGGCATGTGCAATAAAGACTTACTGGGCTTTCACCAGACAAGTAGAACTTTCATCCTTATTAACCTACTTCAGACTTTTCCAGGGAACCCCCAGGGTTTCCCCTGTTGACAGAATGCTGCTTATATAATTTTGAATATAAGTACCATTTTCTTTAGCTCAGGCCCAGCAATTTACCAATACACCAATTGTCCTAATACCCCCTAGGAAAGCAATCTCGGACATACAGTCATTGTGGAATGTGTCAGATTTGGTATTTTGTTTCTCCACTTTTTTTGTGTCATACCAATACAAACAAAATAAATAAACATGAGAATGCCTAAACATTTGTAATTGCAACAATTTTCTGGGTGAAGTGGTGCATTATCTGACAGTAATACAGGGGTGCCAATATTTTTGGCCATTACTGTAGATCAGATGTACTGCGTTTCCCCTGACCAATTACCAGAATTTTAATCCAAAATAGCCTAATTTGGTGTTATAGCCAAAGCACACCTCTTTCCTCTCAAAGGAACACATATACACTATATTGCCAAAAGTATTGGGAAACCCCTCCAAATAATTGGATTCGGGTATTCCAATCGCTTCCATGGGCACAGGTGTACAAAATAAAGCGCCTAGACATGCAGACTGCTTCTACAAACATTTTTGAAAGAATGGGTCACTGTCAGGAGCTCAGTGAATGTAAGTGTTGTACCGTGATAGGTTGGCACCTGTGCAATAAGTCCATTCATGAAATTTCCTTGCTACTAAATATTCCACAGTCAACTGTTAGTGGTATTATAACAAAGTGGAAGCAACTGGGAACAACAGCAACTCAGCCACAAAGTGGTAGGTCATGTAAGATTACAGAGGGGGGTCAGTGCATGCTGAAGCAGAGTCATGCTGAAGTCAGGGTCAGTGCATGCTGAAGCAGACTCAATAGCTAAATCCTCCAAACTTCATGTGGCCTTCAGATTAGAACAACAACAGTGAATAAAGAGCTTCATGAAATGGATTTCCATGGCTGATCAGCTGCATCCAAGACTTACATCACAAAGTGCAAAGTGCTGTTCCAACATGACTATACACCAGTGCACAAAGCAAGGCCCATAAAGACATGGATGAGTGAGTTTTGGGTGAATGATTTTTACTGGCCTGCACAGAGCCCTGACCTCAACCCAATAGAACACCTTTTGGGATGAAGCGGAGACTGCAAGCCAGGCCTTCTCATCCGACATCAGTACCTGACCTAACAAATGCACTTCTGGAAGAATGGTCAAACATTCCTATAGACACACTCCTAAACCTTGTGGACAGCCTTCCCAGAAGAGTTGAAGCTGTTATAGCTGCAAAGGGTGGGCCAACTCAATATTGAACCATACAGACTAAGACTGGGATGCCATTAAAGTTCATATGTGTGTAAATGCAGGCATCCCAATACTTTTGGCAATATATTTTATATTTGGATTTTCCAGGTTGGGATATTTTTGTACCTTTTACATTTGGCAATAAAGTGTATATGGTCACTTAAATTATATTTGGACAGAGCTTACTGAAATGTTAACAATCCAGTGTTTGCATTATGTATGATTCTGCAGTCGAGTCATTAGTGTCTATGGGCTTGAGAGGAGACCTGCATGTGACCAGAAAACAGGTACAATTATATTATAAATGATGTAGCCAGAAGAAGGGAAAGAAAGAAGCCATTATTTTATAAGGTAGAGAAAGGGGCCATTATTTTATAAGAGACTTCCCCAATGGCAAAGTCTCTTTAATTAGAATAATATAGAGTTACAGTCAGCTCCCCCTACCTCTGAATAGTACTGCCTTTTTCACCTTGCTCTCACTTCTCATACACATATCAAATCACGACCTAATTACCTGAAATAATTAGCAACTGGTAGAAATTACCAAAAAAAAAAAAAGTTAACATGCAAAGTAGAGATGCACATAGAACATTGCCTTTGATTGTTTGGTATTTCTATCCTTTAAAATGTGGAAATGTACTTAAATGTTTAAATAATAGTATAAAGAAATGCACAGCAGAGGTCAAAACAGTTGCAGTACCAGTAAAATATCTTGCAAGGGAAAACTTGGCTAGAAATCTATGTAGCCAGCATCCTGTACACAGTGGCTTCCCTTGAGGCTGCCTTTGACAACACTAGAGTGCCTTACTCTGAGCATTGTCACTCTTCTTTTGACTAGTGGAGAGCAACTTGCAATCAAGGCTGCCCCTCAATACACTTCATGTAAGTGCATAATGGTCTTAACAATTTGGTAAGCAAATGGATTTAAACATTATGTTGGTAAGTTCTGCTCTGTTCTTTGATAGTAACACAGATACATTCAGTTTTGATGATGTGGATAATACTTGTGGATTTCCATCATACTTACACTGGTTACTTTGGGGGTACAATGGCAGTAAGTACCATTTTCTGTGTTCTTGGTGCCTACTCTGCACAGGTACAGTATGACCAGCTAAAACCTGGTTAAAAGGAATGTATAATGGTTTTGTATATATTTTTTATTCTTACTTTTTATTTTTATGAACACATTGTATTTTTTGTATGCAGTCGGTGAGCTTTTTTTCTCATTTTTATGTGTTTTCCAGGCCCTCCTTACAGTAGGTACTATGTTGTAAAAATGAATGATGACCTTAACACATGACAGTGAATGAGTCAGAGCAGTAAATTATAGAGCTTCACTGAAATTTACAGTCAGAAACAGAGTGTCTGAAAGTATTCAGTTTCTTGCTGTTCTCTCTCTAATAACACCCATAGTGCTCTGTGAATTCAGTGTCATGGGTGTACCATGCATTAAATGTTTACTTAAAGTATTATTTTTTTCATTTGTAAATTATAGTATGTAAAATAAAATTGACCCCCAAATCATCATAGTTTCCCTATATGCAGTGCTGCAATGTATAAAGTCCATTTCAGTGTGATGGAGATAGTAAAAAAACAAAAAGAAGAAGAGAAGAAGAATATGAGGTAAAAGCACTGAGTGAGAAAGAAAGTGTATATCAAGGAACTAGATGTTTAATCAAAGTTCTTTTTGAAGCCGAAAGACTTACTCGAACATGAGAGCATGCAATAGTGGGACATAGAGTTCCTTAGGAGACATGTAGATTTAAAATTAACCAAAATTCAGGAATTTCCTTAGTAATATTTAGAGCTACAATGGCTAGTGGTTTCCACAAAATGCTCTATAAAATGGATGAACAATAAAACAGCAGCAACGCATGAGGAAGAAACTGATGACACCATGTCAGAGCTACAGCACTGGAAACAACACAGGAGAATGAAGACTTAAAATTAAAAAAAAAAAAAAGAAAAAAATACTTGAGCAGGACATTCTGGACTTTCAAACTGAAATGGTACTGAATTGGTCTAGAGATAGATTGAACAGAAACTGGGGTGTGGAGCCTAAAGATAAAGTTCAAATGAATGCTCTTTAATTCACGTTTATCGCACATATAGAAGCAAGTAAGAAACATAGGGGAATAGCCATTAAAGCCATTAAAGCATCCCAATAAGGGGGGTTATGGCTAATACCCCCACTCCCACAAGAACGACAGGGACCTAGCTCATAGTACAACTAAAAGACCAAATACTACCAAAATGTAAAAGGTATGGAAATATCCCAACCTGGAAAATCCAAATATGCAGTACAGGTGAAACTAGAAAAATTAGAATATTGTGCAAAAGTTCATTTATTTCAGTAATGCAACTTAAAAGGTGAAACTAATATATGAGATAGACTCATTACATGCAAAGCAACATAGTTCAAGCCATGATTTGTCATAATTGTGATGATTATGGCTTACAACTCATGAAAACCCCAAATCCACAATCTCAGAAAATTAGAAAATTGTGAAAAGGTGCAATATTCTAGGCTCAAAGTGTCCCACTCTAATCAGCTAATTAAGCCATAACACCTGCAAAGGGTTCCTGAGCCTTTAAATGGTCTCTCAGTCTGGTTCAGTAGGAATCACAATCATGGGAAAGACTGCTGACCTGACAGTTGTGCAGAAAACCATCATTGACACCCTCCATAAGGAGGGAAAACCTCAAAAGGTAATTGCAAAAGAAGTTGGATGTTCCCAAAGTGCTGTATCAAAGCACATTAATAGAAAGTTATGTGGAAGGGAAAAGTGTGGAAGAAAAAGGTGCACAAGCAGCAGGGATGACAGCATCCTGGAGAGGATTGTCAGGAAAAGGTCATTCAAAAGTGTTGGGGACTTTCACAAGGAGTGGACTGAGGCTGGAGTCAGTGCATCAAGAGCCACCACACACAGACGGATCCTGGACAAATGTCGTATTCCTCTTGTCAAGCCGCTCCTGAACAACAAACAACGTCAGAAGCGTCTTACCTAGGCTAAAGAGAAACAGACCTGGTCTGTTGCTCAGTGGTCCAAAGTCCTCTTTTCTGATGAGAGCAACTTTTGCATCTCATTTGGAAACCAAGGACCCAGAGTATGGAGGAAGAATGGAGAGGCACACGCTGCAAGATGCTTGAAGTTCAGTGGGAAGTTTCCACAGTCTGTGTTGATTTGGGGAGCCATGTCATCTGCTGGTGTTGGTCCACTGTGCTTCATTAATTCCAGGGTCAACGCAGCTGTCTACCAGGAGATTTAGGAGCACTTCATGCTTCCTTCCGCAGATGAGCTTTATGGGGGATGCTGACTTCATTTTCCAGCAGGACTTGGCACCTGTCCACACTGCCAAAAGCACCAAAACATGGTTCAATGACTGTGGGATTACTGTGCTTGATTGGCCAGCAAACTCGCCTGACCTTAAGAGCTGAAGGCCGCTATTGAAGCATCCTGGTCTTCCATAAACACCTCAGCAGTGCCACAGGCTGACAGCTTCCATGCCACGCCGCATTGAGGCAGTAAATGCTGCAAAAGGTGCCCAAACCAAGTACTGAGTACATATGCATGCTTATACTTATCAGAGGTCCGATATTGTTCTGTGTACAATCCTTGTTTTATTGATTGCATGTAATATTCTAATTTTCTGAGATTGTGGATTTGGGGGTATTCATGAGCTGTAGGCCATAATCATCACAATTATGACAAATCACGGCTTGAACTTTGTTGCTTTGCATGTAATGAGTCTATCTCATATATTAGTTTCACCTTTTAAGTTGCATTACTGAAATAAATTAACTTTTGCATGATATTCTAATATTTCGAGTTTCACCTGTAGATCTTATAAACAAGAAAACACAGGAGTATATGATATTAAGGGATTGACCAGCCCAACTACCTTGAGATTGTGGTAAATACTGCAGAAGAAGAACCTCTGCAAGAACGATGGTACAGGAGAAAAATTGATGGAGATCTTCTAATGTAGATGGTTCCCACACTCAGCATTGAGCTAATTCTGTGGGGGAAAAGAAACAAAAAAAGCCACCAAATTACACTTAGAGCCACTAGAAGAGAATATAAAGGGGTCTCAAACAAAAAAAAGCAGAAGGGAGGAATGAACATCACAACAATAAATATCTACAACCTTTTATCGAGGACCCTCAATGCTACAAAAGGTGTTTAATTTGGGACCTAATTTTAATGAATTTTCCTGTTCCTAGATCTACAACTCTTTCATAATGCTTAGGCATGATCAACTCTAGGACCCATTTTAAGCCCACAGTGGGGAATTCCTACCTCCATCAAGAACAGCTGCCATCGCTCCCACTGGAAAAGAAACATCATGTATAGTCAATGCTGTAGGCTGAGGAAAATGGTATTTAAAATATAATAAATATATTCATTGACCAAGCTGTCTCTAAATATCAGTGTCTGTATGGAGAATCATCTAAGGCAGGTTTGAGAACCATGTTAGCAGGACCCCATATGAATCAAAGGCCCTCTATTCACAACACAGTTTAATGACTGGTAAATATTTTGGAAGAATTGGGGCATTCTGCTGAATGATCCCAAATTACAACAACTTTTGGATAAGCCAAGAATGGTCTTTCATAAGGCTAAGAATAAACCTTGCTGCTCCAAATAAAGCAAACAGCAAGGCGAATGTCCCTA